CTTCATCTAAAACAAAGATATTGACAATCAAACGACATCTCCCACCTATCTGTTTGCAGGGTAAAAACATTAGATACGTTAAATCATACAGATATCTTGGTGTAGATGTAATCTTTAAATGTCTAGAAGTAAATATACATAGATCTCAACGGTTTGTGAAAACATGCAGTTAAATTAAGTTTTATAACTTGCACGAACTGTAACACTGTAGACAAGAGCATGTCACCCCCTTCATGGAAAATGTGTTCATTTAATATCACATACTTGAGGAAATTAAAACAATAGAGCGAAAAACTAATGTGAAGGACCTGGGAGGGATAATGTCAGAGGATCTCACTTTCAACGATCACAACAATGTCTCTACCACATCTGCTAGAAAAATGATAGGATGTATAATGAGAACCTTCATAACCAGGGATGCCAAGCCCATGATGATTCTCTTCAGAGCGCTTGTTCTCTCTAGGCTGGAATACTGCTGTACACTAATGGCGCCTTTCATGGCAGGTGAAATTGTTGACCTGGATAATGTACAGACAACCTTCTCCGCACACATAAGTACGATAAAGCACCTAAATTACTGGGAATGGTTGAAGTTCCTTGACTTGTATTCCCTGGGACAAAGGCGATAAAGATACACGAGAATATACACTTGAAAAATCCTAAAGAGAATAGTACCAAATTTGCACAAGAAAATCACTCCCTACGAAAGCAAAAGACTCAGCAGACGATGCAACATCCCTGCAGTGAAAAGGAGGGGCGCCACGAGTACGCTAAGAGGCAACACAGTAAGTGTCAGGGTCCCAAGACTATTCAACTGCCTTCCTGCATACGTAAGGGGGATTACCAATAGGCCTGGTCACAGACCGGGCCGAGGGGGCGTTGACCCCCGAAACCCTCTCCAGGTATATCTGCAAGCCCCTCCCAAGAAGATGATCACTAGTAATACCGTCCTTAAATCATTTGTAAAAGCAACTGCTCAAGAAGTAATAATTTACCACAAGTTATATACACTAATGGATCTAAGCAGAAATCCATTGGCAGGGATGCATCTGCTCTCGTTGCCATCTCCCTAGTTATCTGACACCCAATCAAAACCTATTGGAAAGTAACTGCCTTTATTACACAGCATCACAAGCCACCACTATCCTAAACAATGCTAAAAGTCTATCAGTACTTAACTACAACATCAGGTCCTTAAGCAAACACTATGATGACCTCCTAGCACTCCTTGAATCACTAAAGACACCCTTCTCCTGCATTTCTTACGAGACCTGGCTTAACAGGGGAACACAATAGATATCTACCTCTACCAGGATACACACAATCCACAACTGAGCCCAAAACCCAATTTGGGGGTGGTATGCAATCAATTACTTAACCAAATTTATTTTGTCTTAGCACCATTGCTTAGTGGAATAGGGGGAATACTTTTTTGCAAATTTTACTGAAAAAAAAAACTTAAGACGCCTATAAAAATGGGTGCCATTTCCCGGGATACCTCACACAAACCCCCAAAATTTTTCAGTGAGAAATTAAATCATAATAACAAACAGCAAATGAAAACCCCATTCTTTAGCGAGACTTAAACATCACCTTGGCTTACAATGTCAGCCTGTAACTGATTTCATAAATAATATAAAACAACACACTTCTAACCAAAACAAAAACTAAACCAAACCAGGCTCACTGAACAAGTGCAACCTAAAACACATAGGGGCCCAATATACTAGCCCCCCTTAAATCAGGATAATCACAGATAGCACACAGCCCACTCCCCCTAACCTTTCCCAAAAAACTTTAGTAAACCACCACTTGAATACAACAAAGTCCATTTAGACCCCCATGAGAGGCTCAGAAAGGAAGTTCACAGCTGACCAAAGGACTGTTGACTGGCCTACAAATTCTCCAGGCCATGGTATTGATGATGGACAGCTTTTTTTCTAACAATTACTTAGATATGCAACAAACATTGCCCATAAAACAAAACAATCACAAACAAAGGGCTTGGTTGCCCATGGCAAAACCAGCCCTTTTTGAAATCCATTAACAAAAAACCCCATATGAAAAGCAATTAAAAGGGGCTTAATACACGAGAATTTTTAAACACTTTCATCATTCCCAAAGTAATAAAGAAAGCCAAACAACTATACTACTCCATAGATTCCAGACACTAGAGGAATATAAAAAAGACCTGGGAAAACACTTTTCAATTTTAGGGGCCCACAAAAAGAGAAAAAACCAAAAATATTGCCTAACTAAACCAATGAAACCACCACTACATCCCACTGACAAGCTAACAGTAAACGTTTCTTCCCCAAACCCTGGTTAATCTCCCCCAGTAAAATCCCACATACCAATGCCCATGCCCCGGGGGTACCTAATGGGAATTTCCCTAATTCCTTCACTTGCACCAAATGAGCCTCGGAATCACCGAGATTTTAAAGCCTTAAAAAAAACTCGGGGGAAACGTCCATGTCCACCATTACGTACAAGCGACGGCCCATGTCCTTTTGCAGCTATTTCATTCTTTTTAACAAATCCCTAGAGACTAGCACCTTCCCAAACTACTAAAAATGGCAAGGGTTACACCAAAACCATAAATGGTGACCCTACGACTTAAACAATATAGGGCCCTATCTAACTTACCTTGCTATCCAAAAATTTTTTTAGAAATCGTGCAAGGAGCTGTATTCTTTATAACGGCCAAAAAATACTCACCCCCGCCATTTTTATTCGGAAAATAAAAAAATAATGATCAATCATAAAAATGCTAGATCTGCTTTACACAGCATTGGAAAATAAGGAAAATCCCCTAGGAAAAATTTTTTTTTGGCCTAGAAAAACTTTTTACACATAACCACACTTCCCACTCCAAAACTTGTCATTTCGTATAAGAGGCCTTTCGCTGCTTTTTTTCAAAACTTACTTACTAATGGGATCAGTATGTCACCATTAAAGACACAGCATCACAAAAACGGGCCCCTTATACTGGAGTTCCGCAGGAAGTTCCCTGGTCCCCTGCCTTCCCTAAAACATCAATGACCTTCCAAACGTACCCAACACCTGAAACCCTTCTCTTTGTGACGACCGACTTATGTCATCTCATCACCCTAATCTTGCCACCCTCAACACCATTGTGAATGAGGAGCTGATCAAAATATCGACTTGGATGACAGCCAATAAACTTACGCTTAACACTGACAAAACCTACTATATTATGTTTGGTAGCAGAGCAGGAGATGCACAAATTAACATTAAGATTGACACACTCTAATTACCAGAAATAATGGGGCAAATTCCTAGGCTTTATACCTAGATCAACAACCTGAATTTCAGCACCCATATCCAGCATATAACCAAAAAAGTATCCAAAACGGTTGGGATCCTCTCCAAGATACGATACTACGTGCCGCAAAATGCCCTTCTCACACTATACCACTCACTTATTTATCCATACCTCACCTATGCTATTTGTGCTTGGGGATCAACTGCAGCAACACACCTAAAGCCAACAATAACCCAACAAAAAGCTGCAGTAAGAATAATCACTAAATCCCATCCCTGGCAACACACACCCCCACTCTTCATAGACCTAAACTTACTCCCAGTTCAGTACATCCACACTTACTACTGTGCAATCTACATCTACAAGGGCCTTAAACTCTAATATCAACCTTGACCTAAAATGCTTTCTTGATAGTTGTGACAGAACCCACAGGCATAACACCAGACACAAACATCTCTACGAACATTCCCCGTGTCCCGACTAAACCTTTACAAAAATTCAATGTATGTCAAAGGCCCTAAAATCTGAATACCCTACCTGAGAACTCTAGAACTGCAGAACACATTCATCACCTTCAAAACTACCATTAGAAAACATCTTATCTCCCTGATACACCCCGTCAACTAACTACAACGAATACCACCTGGTGGTTCACACTTACACTCACTCACTCATTTGACCATAAACAGAAATATTAATCTCAATCTTAAAATAATGAATCCTGTGATACTCCAATACTGAAACTATGTACTGTGCCAAAACAAAAGCATTCACATTGCTAAACTCATAAACTAGTATTTAGTCACTTAGCCATAATACCAACTTACCTCATAATTTGTAATATTTTACAATTAAGAATAAAACTAAGTCTGCCCGAAATGCCTAGCCATGCTAAGCGTTCTAGTGGTACACTCTGTAATCACTATTTTACTACATGTAAACCACACAATAACCAAATTTCTGTAAACTCAGCATTGTAATCCTTATAGAGAATAAACTTTGAATTTGAATTTGAATTTGAATATGAGCTTTGTTGATAACATGAAAGTAAATATATAAGTGTATGGAGCAACTTGCGATGTGAACAGAGTGACTGATATCGTAGTAGCTAGGTTTGGGCGTGGTTACTAGTACTTCTGGCAGTTTGGCAGACATACACACGATGAACAAACCAAATGCAACATGGCTAACCCTATGATCAATATTTTGAATACTATGTGCTTAATTGCCAGCTTATTTAGGAATATAGAGATAGACAGGTTAGGTTAGGTAAGGTTCGTCAGGAAACAGGACAAATGTTTCCTGACGCGGGTCTTAGTCAGATGATGACCCGCCTTTGGAGCTTTTGGTCATCTGACCGAGGCCTTCCGCTGGCTTACCGGTCCACCCCTTTAAAAATTATGGTCATTTATAACCATTGTTATTTTTTATTTTTTTTTTTTTTTTTTTTAGAGATAGACAGTATAATAACCAACGTGATATGTCAAAATATCTTAATGAAAATACAGTAAGATACCAGACATATTATGCAAATTTTCTAAATTCGCTTGCAACAGATAAGTCAACTGTAGATATTAAGAGAGATGTACTCCTGTTAGCCCTTTTAGAGCCTAGTTCCAAAGCCTTTCATGCTTCCTATGCTCTTGCACTACCGTCCAGAGGATGGATATGGGGTGCACAATAAACTAGCCACTTCGGTGGCAAAATCTGAAATTTAATCCTCTAGGGAAGTACCGTCGAGGATCACCCCTACTGCACATCTACAAAATTTCATGTTTTAATCAAAAAATGCACGATCCTTCTGAAGTTGTACACTTATCTGCTATTCCTTAAGTGTTATGGAATACTGTAAAAAAATATTTATATAAAATAACGCTCCATATATAATGCCATTTTCCGTGTAACATAGTTCCGGGATTGAACTGGAAGCGAACGCGTTTTATTCCTGTCAGTCAGGCAGTGGCCAGGATAGGAACAGATGAGAGGTGTGGAAAATTGCATTTATCTGAATGTAACTCATTATGTACATAACAGTAAATCATAACAAAGATAAGTATTATTTATCAGAGTTACATAGACAAGTAGGAATTTGGGAAACCTAGGTCACAAAAAATGTCCCCCTTCGATACCTACCACTGTCATATCCACAAGTTGCTCTAGATCTATTAATTACAAATGAAATATACATCACCAGGAATTCTAGTAGATATATAAATTTGTGGACTGTATATTATATTAATAAAGGATTATATATATGCATTTACATAACAGAAGGAGAATATATCTTAATATCACTCACCAATTTGACTGGAGATCAAGGTGTATCATACTCAGAAAACCTCACTGTCTATACATGAAAATAACACTGGCCAGAGTTAAAACATCACAGACTTATCTGAGGTTCCTGGAGCTGTCTTCTCCAGTCGCCTGATATCTCGAGTTATGCAGGAATACACATCCAACAATTTCGCCTCCTATTTGAGAGGTATCAGCCCAATTTTAGCCTCTAGAGCACGAAAAATTCTTCCCATTCACTAATGTCTGTTACTCAATTCAAACAAAAAATGGCGAGTCCCCCTGCACACGCGCAGAGCCTCCCTGTCGGCTCCATTCTCTTCTTTTAAAAATACACTTTTAATCAGGTTTATTTACACAGCATAATATTGGGAAATTATTTTCCACAAGAGGTGTGTTTAGTACAGTACCAGACTGGTGGTGACGGAGGTAAAGTCATGTTTGGGCGGTAGTTTGAGTAGGTAATTTTGGTAAAATTTTTTTAGTGTATACCATAGGTGTTTGTGTTTAAGTACTCTCATGTTTATTTGTAAGGCCCTAGTATGCAGAGGCCTGTTTATGCGAGAGTACTGTATGGTGTTTTGCCTGCTGGTAATTAGTCTACCAGACAGAAGTGAAGACGGGGTTGTGTATGTCATGGTGCCTCCCTGATGATTTATTTTAACTCATCAGTAGCAGTGTACTAGTGAGCTAATGTGAACTGGAGTCTGGTGGTTTTTTGTAGTAGTTATAAGATGTATATAAGTTATTAACAATATTATATACATTTTTACATAGGTGAGTTTTTGTCCTTCCTTCCTAATAATAATTAATATTGTTTAATATATGAGTAAATGCTGGCCTAAAAGTTGCCGTGTTTTTCAGTGTAATTTTATAACCCCTAGACAGCAGTGTTAGCAGCCTTTAGCAGCCAGGAACATTTTATTTAAGTTACGACATCAAAGTCGGTTACAAAGCATGGCTTGCTTCTGCAGTGTTTTAAAAATTGAGGTTGGAGAGTTGAAGGAGGAGGTCTTGCTTCTCCAGGAGGAGATTAGGAAGCTGAAGGTCCACCTCAATGGGTCTGGGAGAGAGTGTGAGGTGGCTGGAGTTGTGGGGAATGAGGCTTCTAGCAGTGAGGTGCAGTCTGTCTCTCGCTGTGAGGAGGCTGTAGGTGGGGAGGTAGCAACGGCTACCAGCAGTGAGGTGCAGTCCAGCACCTGCTACAAGTGGCGAGTGGTAACCAGTAATGGGAGGAGAATCAGAATAAGGAAAGTTAAGAGTGAAGATCTGAAGGTAGGAAATCGCTTCTCTGTTCTTCAGGATGAATGTACTTCAGTGGCCAGTGAAGGTAAGGGTACTACTGCCCCTGCTAACAGAGGTAAGCGCATTCTTGTGGTTGGTGACTCTCAGGTAAGATATATTGACCGTGCTTTTGGTAATAGGAACAAGAAGATGAGAGATAGAGTGTGCTTCCCTGGAGCTGGTGTTGGGGACATAGTTAACAGGCTGGATAATATCATGTCAGGCAATGGGAACAAGCCCATTATCTGTCTCAGTGCTGGTGGAAATGATATTGGGAAGGGTAGGAGAGAAGAGCTGCTAGATAAGTACAAGTCAGCTATAGATTTCATTAAGTCTAAGGGAGGGGTCCCAATCATATGTAGCATCTTGCCTAGAAGGGGAGCAGGAAATGAATGGTTGTCTAGGGCAATTTGTGTAAATTGCTGGCTAGACAGATACTGCAAGGAACTTGCAATCCCATTCATTGACAACTGGAATAACTTTTATGGCAAACATGATATGTATGCAAGGGATGGGGTACATCTCTCTGGGACTGGGGTGGTAGCACTTACAAACTCAATTGAGAAGGCCATTGGTGAAATGCCTATGATTTTAAACTGACAGAAGATAGAGGCATGGGTGTGTGTTGGAAACAAGCAGGTTGCAACACTAGGGTTGGAAACAGTAAATGTATAAAAGGCATTCAGCATGAAGTTATAAATAAAGACAATAGATCAGGTCAGCAAACAAAGGGGGACAGCAGAGGGCAGCAAGGGACTAGCTCCCTTAAGGTTTACTATACTAATAGCAGGAGTGTAAGAAATAAGATAGATGAGCTAAGATTAATTGCAAGTGCAGGAAACATAGATATTATTGCTATAACAGAGACCTGGCTCAATCTGAAAGATAGAGATGCCCTCTGAATGTCACATACAAGGCTATAAATTATTCCACACTGACAGGGTCAACAGGAAGGGTGGTGGAGTAGCGATGTATGTCAGAGACAATTTATATTGTTGTGTTAGACAAGATATAAAATTAGAAGCGTCCACTGAATCTGTTTGGTTAGCTTCTCGAGGGCCGAGAAAAACTAATTTTGGGTGTGATTTACAGGGCCCCAAATTTTGATAGGAAGTGCAGTAAACTTCTATGGGACGAAATTCGTAAGGCATCTACATACGAAAATGTTGTGCTAATGGGAGATTTCAACTATAGACAGATTGACTGGAGCAATTTGACAGGAAATTTAAAGTCAGGTGACTTTCTTGATACGATCCAGGATTGTTTTTTAAAACAGTTTGTGACAGAGCCAACTAGGGGAAATAACCTCCTTGATTTGGTTCTTGCCAGTAGGGAAACACTAATTAATAATCTTGAGGTTAATGATGAGCTTGGGGAAAGTGATCACAAATCACTCAGTTTTAATATATCATGGAATTCCCCTAATAATGGCAATCAAGTCTCTGTCCCTGACTTTCGCTTGGCTGATTTCATAGGACTGAAAAATTACTTAGGTGGGCTGAACAGGAATGACTTGACCAAGGGTCAGGTAGGTGGTGATGGTTGCCGATATGACGCTTTCCAGGGCATAGTTCTAGCTGCTCAGTCAAATTATGTTCCAAATAGGGAAATCAGATCAAACAAAAATGATCCTAAATGGATGAACAATAGATTAAATTATCTGATTGGTCAAAAGAGAGGCATATATAGGCAAATCAAAAGAGGAGAGGGGCAATTAAGAAATCGATATATTCAGTTAAAGAGAGAAATAAAACAGGGAATTAGAAAAGCAAAAAAAGATTATGAGGTTAAAGTTCCAAGAGAATCGAAGACTAACCCAAAAGGATTCTTTCAGGTATACAGAAGTAAGATCAGGGACAAGATAGGCCCACTCAAAAGTTCCTCGGGTCAGCTCACTGACAGTGATAAGGAAATGTGTAGAATTTTTAACACATACTTCCTCTCAGTTTTTACACAGGAGGATACAGCGATATTCCAGAAATGATAAATTATGTAGAACAGGACGACAATAAACTGCGCACGATTAGGGTCACAAGTGACATGGTCCTTAGGCAAATAGATAAATTAAAACCTAACAAATCCCCAGGCCCTGACGAACTGTATGCAAGGGTTCTAAAGGAATGTAAAGAGGAGCTTAGCAAACCTTTGGCTAATCTTTTCAACATATCACTACAAACTGGCATGGTGCCAGATAAGTGGAAAATGGCAAATGTCAAAATAGGTGACAGGTCCTTAGCTTCGAACTATAGACCAATAAGCCTAACCTCCATAGTGGGAAAATTTATGGAATCAATAATTGCCGAGGCAGTTCGTAGCCACCTTGAAAAGCATAAATTAATCAACGAATCTCAGCATGGTTTTACAAAGGGGCGTTCCTGCCTTACGAATTTATTAACTTTTTTCACTAAAGTATTTGAGGAGGTGGATCATGGTAATGAATATGATATTGTGTATATGGACTTCAGTAAGGCTTTTGACAGGGTCCCACATCAGAGACTATTGAGGAAAATTAAGGCACATGGAATAGGAGGAGAAATTTTTTCCTGGATAGAGGCATGGTTGACAAATAGGCAGCAGAGAGTTTGCATAAATGGGGAGAAATCAAAGTGGGGAAGCGTCACAAGCGGTGTTCCACAGGGGTCAGTGTTGGGCCCCCTGCTGTTCACAATCTACATAAACGACATAGATGAGGGCATAAAGAGCGACATCAGCAAGTTTGCCAATGACACCAAAATAGGCCGTCGAATTCATTCTGACGAGGACATTAGAGCACTCCAGGAAGATTTGAATAGACTGATGCAGTGGTCGGAGAAGTGGCAGATGCAGTTTAATATAGACAAATGCAAAGTTCTAAATGTTGGACAGGACAATAACCATGCCACATATGAACTAAATAATGTAGATCTTAATATTACGGATTGCGAAAAAGATTTAGGAGTTCTGGTTAGCAGTAATCTGAAACCAAGACAACAGTGCATAAGTGTTCGCAATAAAGCTAATAGAATCCTTGGCTTCATATCAAGAAGCATAAATAATAAGAGTCCTCAGGTTGTTCTTCAACTCTATACATCCTTGGTTAGGCCTCATTTAGATTATGCTGCACAGTTTTGGTCACCGTATTACAGAATGGACATAAATGCTCTGGAAAATGTACAAAGGAGGATGACAAAGTTGATCCCATGTATCAGAAACCTTCCCTATGAGGATAGACTAAGGGCCCTGAATCTGCACTCTCTAGAAAGACGTAGAATTAGGGATGATATGATTGAGGTGTATAAATGGAAGACAGGAATAAATAAAGGGGATGTAGTGTGCTGAAAATATCTAGCCTAGACAGGACTCGCAGCAATGTTTTTAAGTTGGAAAAATTCAGATTCAGGAAGGATATAGGAAAGTACTGGTTTGGTAATAGAGTTGTGGATGAGTGGAACAAACTCCCAAGTACAGTTATAGAGGCCAGAACGTTGTGTAGCTTTAAAAATAGGTTGGATAAATACATGAGTGGATGTGGGTGGGTGTGAGTTGGACCTGATAGCTTGTGCTACCAGGTCGGTTGCCGTGTTCCTCCCTTAAGTCAATGTGACCTGACCTGACTAGGTTGGGTGCATTGGTTTAAGCCGGTAGGAGACTTGGACCTGACTCGCATGGGCCAGTAGGCCTGCTACAGTGTTCCTTAGTTCTTATGTTCTTAAGATGCAAGAAAAATGGAGGTGGCAGCAGCAACCAGGAACACAGTACCTGTAGAAGTGACTAAGTGACCTAAGTTGCCACCACTTACCTGAACATGGTGTAAGTGGCGTTGGCGTGGTGCAGGTGGTGGTCCAGCAGGTGGAGACGCAGTGTGGTGTGGGAGTCTCGGGTGAGGGCGTGCAGAGCCTCAAGACCTGCCAGGTCGTCCAGTATAAGAGACAAAGATATGTGAAATGCAGTTAACCATTAATTAAAGCAGAACTGTAGTAAATACGCTAAACAAAACATTTAATTAATCGCCAGGGTCCAAGGCTCTTCAACACCCTGTTTCAACGCTGTTTTTCAACACCCTTCTGGAAATCTATTGGGTGATCAAATAACTTTCACAGGGAAACAGTAAATAATCAGTACAAGCACTTAACATCGTCACACACACTTAGTTGGTGGAGGTAGTGACTGTACATATTAACTGATATATTTACCCTTCAAGAAAGGATTAGGTAGGTTACACAGTAGTAACTAATATTAGAAATAGAAAAGTAACCATATATAATATTAATGTAGTCCTAGGACCTTAACATAGGTAAGATTACGCCTTTAATATAAGCGAATATTAGCTCCAGAGCTGGCAACCCAATGACGGGAGTCAGAGAGATGCCAGCTCTCTACTTTGAGTACAGACACCATTCTGAGAAGACATGCTATGACAAACAGCCTGGAGAACAGGCGTTCATACACTTGGCTTGGAGACAACAAAATCCTAAAGGTTTCTCGAATTACCGTGGGTATTCTCCTCTTCCCAGGCCCACCTGCAGTAAGACAGACCATCCATTTTCTCAGCATTAGTTGGCCAATGATATTCTGGGGAAACATAGGTTGTAGTCGATCTGTGGGGTTTGAGCAGATGGACACACAAAGACCAGATAAATCCGTCACTTCAAGGGGTACTGAGAGTGGGGGGCCAGAGAACTCCATACCACCAAGTGAGTTAATCCTTCACTTGTGTATAGTTAGGAATTTCTTACAAGAGCAGTAGTAACTGGAAATATGTTGTAAGAGCCACTTGTGAGCCTGGGAGGACTATCTCAAGGTGTCTGAGTCACCAGCAATTGCCAAGATGAGCAGCTTACAAGGGGGCAGTTCGCACAAAAATTTCCAGTCGTGATGGCAGGCCCGAAGTAGTGGCTAATGTGATGAGTACAGCATGAGGGATTAGTCCAACTGAACGGTTTCAAGGTTCTGTGGCCCTACCCATCATAGTGGCAGTGGTTGTGAATGGAAAGAAGTCTGAAACAACCCAATTGTTTTTTGATGCTGGGGCACAAAGGTTCTTGATAACAGAGGCACTAACAGCCAAGTTGAAATTAAGATTGGATAACAAGGTTAAAATGATTTTGGAAGGGTTTGGTGGCCCGATCCCACCCAGGTCTTATCGCGTTCATGTTGCAGTTAAATTGAGCGGGACATCGCCGAAAGATCACAGCCTTGATAGTGAAGAAGCTGCCTGAAATCGTTGCTACCAAGGGTCTGGCTGCAGCAGCAAAATGTTTGAGGGAGTTAGGCGTGAAGCTAGCAGAGCCAGATATTACCACAGATAACGTCAGGGATGTGGGGGCGGACTACATGGACGAATTTGTGTCCAAGAGGACTATCAAGGAGGGTATTGACCTGTACAGGACTTCAGCGGGGTATATTGTAGGAGACAGGATACCAGCTCATTTTCTGGAGACACCTGGGAGTGAGAGCCCTGACTCTACAGCAACTGAGGCAGTGCTAGCGATGCGACTTGGTCTGCGTGAAGACCAAGTCAAAGTCGACAGTGAGCCAGTTCATAAACTATGGGATCTGGATGTAGTAGGGATTAAGGGTGATCTACTGCCTCCTGAACACGAAGAGATTTATAAGGATTACTTGAACCATGTATAGTTCAAAGACAGCCAGTAGTGGGTGCGACTACCTTGGAAACCGGCGCAACCAACTCTGCCCACTAATTTTAAGAAGGCACGAGATTAGTTGAACTCGCTGGTGAACAGCCTGACCAAGAAGGGTCTCGTGGGGAACTACGACCACATCATTAAGGAACAGTTGGCCCTCAGATTCATTGAGAAAGTACCCTATGCCAGCGTCCTGTTTCAACACCCTGCTTCAGCACCCTATTTGAACACCGTGGATCAACAGCATGTTTCAACACTGTTTCAACACTATATTTCAACACCGTCTTTCAACACCATGTTTCAATACCCTGTTTCACCATTATATTTCAATACCATGTTTCAACACCCTGTTTCAACACCATGTTTCAACACCGTGTTTTAACACCGTGTTTCAGCATCGTGTTTCATTACCCTGTTTCGACACCCTGTTTCAACACCCTGTTTCACCACCCTGTCTCAACTCCCTGTTCCAACACCCTGCTTCACCGCCCAGTTTCAACACTATGTTTCAACACCATGTTTCAACATCCTGTTTCAACACCATGTTTCAACACCCTGTTTCACCACCCTGTTTCTACACCCTGTTTCAATAACCTGCTTCAATGCCCTGTTTCACCACAATGTTTCAACACCATGTTTCAACAACCTGTTTCAACACCGTTTTTCACTATCATTTTCAATATCCTGTATCAACCCCCTGCTTCACCACCCTGTCTCAACTCCCTGTTTCAACGCCATGTTTCAACACTATTTTCAGCACCATGTTTCAACACCATGTATCGCCACCCTGTTTCGACACCACGTTTCAACATCTTGTTTGAAATAAACTGTTTCACCACCCTGCTTTAACTGTTTCAACACCATGTTTCAATACCATGTTTCAACACCATGTTTCAATACCATGTTTCAACACCAGGTTTCTACACCCTGTTTCACCATCTTGTGTCAACTGCCGGTTTCATTGCCCTGTTTCAACACCAAGTTTCAACAAAGCTTTTAGAGAAAATCCAGAATGAGCCTTCCATTGATCACTACATCAGACTGAGTGTCACCAACACAAACAACATAACTGATCAAGCAATGGCAGAATGATTTCTAAAATCAATAACAATCGTGGCTCGAAAAATACACATTTTCTAGAAGACACCCTGGATGATACTTAGGCCTATCCACAATCATTATTACATCACAAGTAGACAGGTTGGAATGAGGGAGGAACACAGAGTCAGAAGACAGTTCACATTAACAAAATACCAATATAGAATGAAACAATATTATTAATGGCATTTATAAGTAATGCGGAAAATACATCTCAGTGGAATGGAATGGCTCGCTGTCTCTATACCGTTGATGCAACACTGGGAATCTTTAATGACTTAACGCTTTGCCCACACTGCACACTTGATCAGTTGACTACCATTATGATACGACACCCAATAATATTACACAATAACATTACACAATAGCATAAAAGTAGAACAGTGTACATGCCTACTAGCCCACGTACACACATACACACACACACACACACACACACACACACACACACACACACACACACACACACACACATATATATATATATATATATATATATATATATATATATATATATATTATATATATATATATATATATATATATATATATATATATATATATATATATATATAAATTCAACAAGTCGGCCTTCTCCCACCGAGGCAGGGTGACCCAAAAAGAAAAAAAATCACCAAAAAGAAAATTCTTTCAGCATTCAACACTTTACCTCACTCATACATAATCACTGTTTTCCCAGAGGCGCCCAGATACAACAGTTTAGAAACATGTATAAAGATATGTAACATACCCCTCCAAACTGCCAATATCCCAAACCCCTCATTTAAAGTGCAGGCATTGTACTTCCCATTTCCAGTACTCAAGTCCGGTTATATAAAAATAACCGGTTTCCCTGAATCCCTTCACTAAATATTACCCTGTTCCCACTCCAACAGTTCGTCAGGTCCCAAAAACCATTCATCTCCATTCACTCCTATCTAACATGCTCATGCACGCTTGCTGGAAGTCCAAGCCCCTCGCCCACAAAACCTCCTTTACCGCCTCCCTCCAATCTTTTCGAGGACGACCCCTACCCCGCCTTACTTTCCCTACAAATTTATACCTTCTCCAAGTCATTCTACTTTGAGCCATTCTCTCTCAATGACCAAACCACCTCAAGACTCCTCTCCAGCCCTCTGACTAATACTTTTATTAACTCCACACCTCCTAATTTCCACGCTCCGAATTCTCTGCATATTATTTACACCACACATTGCCCTTAGACAGGACATCTCCACTACCTCCAGCCGCCTCCTCGCTACAGCATTTACAACCCAAGCTTCATACTCATATAAGAGTGTTGGTACCTCTATACTTTCATACATTCCCTTCTTTGCCTCCATAGATAATGTTTTTTGTCTCCATAAATACCTCAATGCACCACTCACCTTTTTTCCTTCATCATTTCTATGATTAACCTCATCCTTCATAAACCCATCCACTGACACGTCAGCTCCCAAATATATGAAAACATTCGCTTCTTCCATACTCCCACTCTCCAATGTGATATCCAATTTTTCTTTATCTAAATCGTTTGATATCCTCATCATCTTACTCTTATCTATGATTACTTTCAACTTTCTACGTTTACACACCCTCCCAAACTCGTCCACTAACCTCTGCAACTTTTCTTTAGAATCTCCCATAAGCACAGTATCATCAGCAAAAAGTAACTGTGTAAACTCCCATTTTGCACTTGATTCCCCATAATTGAATCCCACCCCTCTCCTCAGCACCCTAGCATTTACTTCTTTTACAACCCCATCTATAAATATATGACACAACCATGGTGACATTACACATCTCTAAGACCTACTTTTACCAGGAAGTAGTCTCCCTCTCTCCTACACACCCTAACCTGAGCCTCACTATCCTCATAAAAACTCTTTACAGCATTTAGTAACTTACTACCTCTTCCATACACTTGTAGTATCTGCCATATTGCTCCCCTATCCACTCTGTCATATTCCTTTTCTAAATCCATAAATGCAGTGATAACTTCCCTGCCTTCATCTAAATACTGTTCACATATATGCTTTAATCTTGATCTACACATCCCCTACCCACTCTAAAGCCTCCCTGCTCATCTGCAATCCTAGTTTCTGTCTTACCTCTAATTCTTTCAATAATAACCCTACCATACACTGTACCTGGTTTACTCA